AAAATCTGGAGACAACAGATGCTGGAGAGGATGTGGAGAAAATGGAACACTTTTACACTGTTGGTGGGAGTGTAAATTAGTTCAACCATTGTGGAAGACAGTGTGGCGATTCCTCAAGGCCTTAGAAATAGAAATTCCATTTGACCCAGCAATCCCATTACTGGGTATATATCCAAAAGACTATAAATCGTTCTACTATAAGGACACATGTACACGAATGTTCATTGCAGCACTGTTTACAATAGCAAAGACCTGGAATCAACCCAAATGCCCATTGATAATAGACTGGATTGGAAAAATGTGGCACATATACACCATGGAATATTATGCAGCAATCAGAAATGATGAGTTCGTGTCGTTTGTAGGGACATGGATGAATCTGGAAAACATCATCCTCAGCAAACTGACACAAGAACAGAAAATGAAACACCGCATATTCTCACTCATAGGTGGGTGATGAAAAATGAGAACACATGGACACACAAAGGGGAGTACTAAACACTGGGGTCTATTGGGGGGAAAAGGGGAGGGCCAGTGGGAGGGGGAGGTGGGGAGGGATAGCCTGGGGAGAAATGCCAAATGTGGGTGAAGGGGAGAAGAAAAGCAAAGCACACTGCCATGTGTGTACCTACGCAACTGTCTTGCATGCTCTGCTTATGTACCCCAAAACCTATAATCCAATAAAAAATTAAAAGAAAAAAAATATATAACTCGAGCAAATAACTTGAAATAGAAAAGCTTAAGCAAATGTTCTAACTACTACACAGGCGAGGAAAAAAAGGGGATGAAAATTGCTACACAGATGGTATCTCTTTAAAAGGGTATGTTCTCAACAACTGCTTTTTTAATGAATAAAAGAGAGAATGACTGAATTAGCAAAGCAGTCAGCGAGTCAATGGCTAGGTTAGGGTGATACTCTATCTACAATAGCACAAATTACTACTAGTTTGGTGTCAACATCCAGAACTGTGTGTTGTGGGTTTCCCTCTGACCACCCTAAGTATTTCACAAATATCCTATTCACCTCTTAGCACTGTTAGTAATATGAATGTGAAAATGATGAAGCAGACATATTTCTAATGGAACAAAAAATAAAGTAAAGTAAAGAAATGTCAAGGAGTATCATAATATTTCATTTATTAGGCATCCTCTACCAACTATTAAACAATAATACTCAACACAATGAAAAGCAACCTGATTGAAACATTTTTCAAGCCTAAATAAGTGATTCTCAAACAGGTTGTACAACATACAGATATAATGTGGCTTGATTTTTGATGTACCAGAAATAATTTGTTGGTAATAGTAAGTTTGAATATAATTTAGTGCTTTGTTAAAAAAAAATTAAATTGGATTCTACCTTAACCAATGATATAGTTTGCTGAGTTTGAAAACAAACAGGGAACAGATCCACGTAACATGCCTAGACTTGAGTCAATTCCAGTGTATGTACTCCATGTGAATATAATCTTCATGTTTATCTCAGCAAAAATAAAGTAATCAAGAATAGTTTTTCTATTGCTTCTGCTCTATTGATCAAAGAAGAAGGGTGGTATGTAAGGAAATGTATAAACTTCCTGGAGCATGCTTTCAAAAGACTGCTTGTGGGTACAATAAAAAAATTCAAGCAATAACTTCTTACCATTTATTTTTAAGAAACTGTGAATTGATTTTTAAAAATATTTTGATCTGTACAGGAACAAGCTTTATTTTAATTGAATGAAATGGAGGATTTAGGATCTACTTTGTTTTTTTTTCCTCAATACTATTAGTGTTTCATCCTACATATCCTCTGGAAAGCTATGTATCACTTTATTGGCTCTGTGACATTAGGAGATCTAGAATGTGTCTATTTTACCATGGATTCTAACAAACTATTCTAAAATGATCATTAAGTACTAATTCTTCAGAATAGTTTAAATCTAAAATACAGCTTCTCTAAAGTGAAGATGTATTTAAGAAATTGCTTTATTATGTACATGTAATGGGATGTCAAAATGGGACTCTTTCTGTATGATATGATACATCAGTTACTAACGTGAGTATGATCTTTTCAACACACAAAATTTACAAGAGAAATGTCTACAACCTTGAACCCTCTCATCTACTTGTATAGTACAAAATATTTGAGAGAGAAAAGAAAGAGGAAGGAGTTGTGAAAATATTTTCTTTGAAGGGAGCTGTTGTTATGCTGAGTCCCCATAACCCTCCTCACTACATTCAAGTTTCATAAGAGCTTGGTAGATATTCTTGCGTTTTGGGAGATATGGACTGGAGCCTGACTAATGACTGAAAAAGGATAATGACCCGTGGTAGCAGAATTAATACCCACGGTTTGCTGGGACAAAGGATTTATGAGTGGTACATGACAAAGAAGGGCCACACTGAATCTATTTAAGTCCTGCCCTACATACTTCCTGGCAGAGTGAGAGCTCTTCAACAGTGAAGTTCACACAGAATTCACCACAGAGATCTAGGCAAAGAGAGGACAATGACAACTGGAGAAACAGAACCCATCACTGAAACCTCAGAAATGACAAGTAGAGATACTTAATGGAGGAGTCCCTGAAGAATTACAAGTAGAGATAACTAATGGAGGAGTTTCTGAAGAACCCATGGACATGCACATGATAGGATCCAGCTATAAACCTCAGCCAAGTCCAGGGAGTTTACCCAGGAGGTCAGATATGAACTGTGTATGTTTAGTGTTCTCTGCTAGTTTAAAGGATGAGTATGAATTTGTCAGACAGGGAAGTGGTGGCCTAGCAGAGCACTTGAGAGAAAAAAAACAGCATGTAGAAAAGCAAAGGATCCCCAGAAACTAGTGAGGCCCAGTGTAACAGACAGATACAGGGAAATGGCAGGACAGATGCAAGACCTCATGCCAAGGCTCTTGTAGACTGTACTAAGAAATCTGAACTTTAGACTATGGGCAACGAAGAAGATCCCAGCAGTTTTTTAAAGTTGAAGATTATAGGATTAGATTTCTTTTGATAGATAACAATGATAGCACTGTAATGGGGAATTCATTATAGTGTATTTCGATAGAGAAGAAATTGATGACAAGTGAACTATTGCAATAAGACTCACAGGAGAAGACAGAAGGCCGGGAGCAGTAAGGTGTGGCAGGGGGACCAGGCCAGCGCAGCAGGGATTATAGAGTTTATGCGAAACAGAAACCCTGGGCTTGGTGACTGAATCACCTGGTAAAGAAGAGGGAGTTTTTGAGAATGATTCTGAAGACTAGTAATGATACTTTCTGGGCCCCATCAGGCTACTACCATTATAATTTTTTAGGAATATGCAATGCTTTCATTTCAGTCTTGCTAGGTATTTCCATAGATACCTGAAAACAGATGCTTTGTAGAAGCTTGAACCAACAAGGCTGCACAATAGGAAAAACTATCAGAATCTGAGAATAGCTTTTGGCCTCACGTAGAAAGAAAATACATTACTGCCAACAACTACCAGGTGAATATCTTAGCAATGTTTCAACTTGCACAGTAAATAAAACCATGGAAAAGTCTGCAGAGGGTATGAATACATTCAACCAATAATGCCTCCCAGCTTTCTATAATAAGCTACTCACAGATTTTTGCCTTTCCTACCTTTACAAATTTATGTATTCAGATTGATCCTACCTAAAAGAATAACAGTGAACAAATAAAAGAACTGCTACCAAAAAAAACTTTCCAAAAGAAAATCTCAAAGAAAACTTGTAAAATGCTTCTTAGATAGAAGAGGACTTATCATTTTTCATTTGTTAACCATGTCTTTCTTCACTAAGGCAAAATACTAAAACATAAGGCTTAACGTATAAAGGGGCATGAAATGAAAATACAAAAACACTTGGCGGCAATTAGTCATATGATGGGTTTTTTGTGTGTGTGGAAAAGAAAAACTGCTTATTTAGACTGGGAAGCATGTGAAATGTGGAAGTAATGTAGGATTTAGTCAGGAGATTTGGTTTTGGATCCACAATACTACTGCATTATTCCTCAACATGGCTCCCTGTATATGTGCCACAAATATGCAATTCATCAGAAAAGAATATAAAATGGCTAACAAAATATGGGGAAAATGTCATATTTTACTAATAAAAAAACTTTTTTTTAAGTAAAGTCTGGTCAATTATTCAAGAAACTTTTTTGTTCTTTCTCATGAAAAAAATTAATGCTGGGTGTCAATGATAAGTGGGATGAAAATCATTTCAACCTGTCTTGGAGCACAATTATCAACATATATCTTAGTCCTATGACTCCATTAAAGAAATATTTCAAAATAGAGAAAAACCTTCAGTAAAAACTACTCATTGTGATATTATTTATAATGCAGGAAAACTGAAGGCAAACTGAATGTCCAAAAGTAAGATAAAATTCAGTAAATTTACTAACAGTTTGAATTATGCTTATAAAGACGGGAACATGCTCATGTCATAATATTAACATGAAAAAAACCCACCCAGCATACACAATAGTGTGCTTCCAACATTGTAAAAAAGGCTCTTAAAATTAGCAGGATACAATATATAGTAAGGAGTAGAAATGGGTACATCCTTAGTATATTTTTAAATTTTTCATAATTAGCACTATTTTAAAAATAAGTATTTTGGAAATTGCTCCTGGTGTGGATATACTTTGTAAAGCAACTCAAAGCTTTAAAAATTATTTTATAAAACAATTTTCTAAAATATTTTAATAACTAAAATCAAATATTTTACATAAACTCAAGGACAGCAAATTCTTTACACTTACAAACACACACAAATGTACACACACAGACACATGCACTTTTAAAATACATATTTTTTCTTTTTTGTTAAAAGACAAGGTCTCACTATGCCTAGGATGGTCTCAAACACCTGAGTTCAAGTGATCCTCCCATCTCATCCTCTAAAAGTACTAGGATTACAGGTATGAGCCAGCATGCCGGGCCCTTTTCATATATTAACTTTATAAATTATAGAAAGGAAATAGATTATGTAACTACTCCCTCCATACCTTCAGGTTATCGGGCAGTTCTGATCGCCCAGCATACCCAGGGTTCATTGTTATAAAGACAGCACATGTGGGGTCAAGTTTTAGTTCAGTTCCTTCAAACATGAGTATGTCAGCACCTGCATTAATACCTGTAGGTAATCGGGAATGAAATGACTTAGTAATACCACATAGGAATGTGAGCTGTGCCATTCATTAACTCCCATATTTCTTTTATTTTTACATAATGCAAAGACAAACTAGTCCATTACCTCTTTGGATAGTAAGGATTTGTTGAGCAACCACAGAGAGTACTTCCAAATCAATTCTGTTAAACTCATCAAAGCAAGCCCAGGCTCCACAAGATAACAGTCCCTATGAGAAAAGAGTAATGAAAATTTTTGACTTTATCTGATTCAATATTGCATTGAAATGTTGTATTTTCACCTGATCTCTTCAAGGATTTAATATCCTATCAAGGAAATTGCTTATTTGCCTTTATCTTTAAAGACAGCGGATTTTTTCATTACCAATTCATTATTCTGTATAAATAAAAGAATTTGATCAACTGGAAAATTTTCCAATTAACATTTTTCTCCTTTCTGTGCTTTTTTTTTAGCTTTTAGACATACAACTATAATTTCAAAGCCTTTCCTGCTTTCTATTTACAAGTTGATTTTATTTGCTTACTCCATGTGAATTTTGTAGCATAGGTTGTAATAACCATCTAAATAACATGAGGTCTGTTGCCAATGAGACTGCCTTGTGGTTTGAGCACCTTAATAGCCACTACCATAGTTTAAGGACCTGGTTTGCAGTCCTAACCCACAGCTACCTCACAGATATATGCCATTTGATCATAAGGAAAAACTGGAAAATCAAGCATGAGTAGCTTCATCCAAATTCAGATTTACTTTTAAAAACATCAAATGATTCAACAAATATGTACTGAATATACATTTTATAGACTGTGGGTGTGTATGTGCATGTGCATACACATGTGCATGTGTTTCACTGAGTACACTGTATGTGCCAACCGTGACTCATAGCACTATGTGTGTACCTTTTATGCAAGGACACTAAGGCTATACCATATGAGATGTTAAATAATTACCACAAAGCCACACATATTATAGCAGCTGACCTTGGATTTTTATACATTTCATTCTTCTAAACCACACTGGATTGTACACAAACTCTATACACATCAAAGAATAGCCGATTTTCATTAGAGAAAACTCTATAAGTGGCTTTGACCTCTAATGCATAATGATAAATCACACAGGATAGAATGCTTTGGAAGTCACATATTCAAGCAGTTATACAAATTTTGAAATTCTTAATAAAAATCATGTCTAATTTTCTACTCCCATTATTCAGCACAGTCCCAACACAAAGAAGCTATTTACATAATAAATACTTACCAATAAGCAAATTTAATACTATTAAGTTTATGACTCTAAATAAAAGAATTAAGAAAGTCTTACATAGATTCAAAAACCGAGCAATATATACCAGACATTTCTTTAGCCATTTAAGAACATAATGGCTATTCAAATTGCATGTAGAATTCTTTAGTTTTGTTAATTTGTATTTATATATATTTATCTGTACAAATTTATGGAGTATGTGTGCAATTTTGTTAATGCATTGATTGCATAGTGACTAAGTCACTATGCAATTTGGTATCCATCACCTGAATAACATACGTTGGTATCACACCATTTTGGTATCCATACCACTTTGTGGTATCCGTCAGCTGAATAACATACATTGCACCCATTAAGTAATCTCTCATCACACCCTTCTCCCATCTTCTCACCATTCTGTTTCTATCATTCCACTCTCTATAGCCATGTGTACTGATTTCTTAGCACTCACTTATGAGTGAGAACATGTAGTATTTGATTTTCTGTGCCTGACTTGTTTCATTTAAGATAATGACTTCCAGTTCTACTCATGTTGCTGCAAAAGACATGATTTCATTCTTTTTTATGGCTGAATAGTATGTAATTGTATAGATACACCCCATTTTCTTTATCCACTTCTCCGCTAATGGACTCTTAGGTTGATTCCATATCTTTGCTTTGGGAATAGTGATCCTTTCAACAACGTTGAAAATCATTAGAGAATGAGTTAAAATGATAACTGGTCATTTAAATGTTTTCTTGATATTTCATTAATTATAATTTTGAGTTTTTAAAAGTTCTACTTTTAGTTGTTTCAGCATCACAAATGTAGAGTAATTAAACTCCAGATCAGTCATATTCCAGCCAGGAACAGTGTACTGCATGGATCAGAGTTGGTATATTTTATTTTGTTAGTTTATTTTTTTAATGTTAACTTTTTCTGGAGAAAATTTGGAAAAGTAAATATTCTAGAATCTTTAAAATATGCTTTGCATATACATGGACACAAAGAAAAGAACAGAAGACACTGGGGCATTTTGAGGGTGGAGGGTGGGAGGAGGTTGAAGATTGAAAAACTACCTATTGGCTATTATGATGATTCTCTGGATGACAAGATTGTCTGTACACCAGACAAACTCCCACAACACACAACCTACCCATGTAACAAACCTGCACCTGTACCCCTGGAACCTAAAAAAAAATTGAAAATAAAATTTTCTTTGTGAATTACAGAAAAACATAAATAATTTCAAATGGATCATTTTTGTTCAGCTGTGTCACCTAACATTTTAAGGAATAATAGGCTATAGCAACAAGCTGCTAAAATGATCAGATGTTTATAAAATTATAGGCAAGAATTTGGTATCTTTAATTCCACCTTTTGAAGCTCATGAACCCAAAAAGTAGGAATCTAACTTAGAATTAAAAAAAAAAATACACTGATTTGATCTTGACAAATTATATGACTGTATTAAATTATCACATGTAACCTGAAAATATGTACATCTATAATATATAAAAATAATTTTAAAAAGCAAATTATTAAAGTAATATTTCAAGTTCACCAAAAGTGATTAAAATATATCTATAACGAACAATCATATGAAAAAATGCTCATCGTCACTGGTCATCAGAGAGATGCAAATCAAAACCACATTGAGATACCATCTCACGCCAGTTAGAATGGCGATCATTAAAAAATCTGGAGACAACAGATGCTGGAGAGGATGTGGAGAAAAAGGAACACTTTTACACTGTTGGTGGGAGTGTAAATTAGTTCAACCATTGTGGAAGACAGTGTGGCGATTCCTCAAGGCCTTAGAAATAGAAATTCCATTCAACCCAACAATCCCATTACTGGGTATATATCCAAAGGACTATAAATCGGTCTACTATAAGGACACATGCACACGAATGTTCATTGCAGCACTGTTTACAATAGCAAAGACCTGGAATCAACCCAAATGCCCATTGATGATAGACTGGATTGGGAAAATGTGACACATATACACCATGGAATATTATGCAGCAATCAGAAATGATGAGTTCGTGTCGTTTGTAGGGGCATGGATGAATCTGGAGAACATCATTCTCAGCAAACTGACACAAGAACAGAAAATAAAATACCGCATATTCTCACTCATAGGTGGGTGATGAAAAATGAGAACACATGGACACAGGGAGGGGAATACTAAACACTGGGGTCTATTGGGGGGAAAAGGGGAGGGCCAGAGGCGGGGGAGCTGGAGAGGGATAGCCTGGGGAGAAATGCCAAATGTGGGTGAAGGGGAGAAAGGAGGCAAAACACACTGCCATGTGTGTACCTATGCAACTGTCTTGCATGTTCTGCACATGTACCCCAAAACCTAAAATGCAATAAAAAATTAAAAAAATATATATATATATCTATAAAACTAAATTACTGACTCAATATAACTTCTCAAAGATCTACAGGTTAAAGATGTCTTTAGAATCCCACAACCTTTACATGATGCAATAGTTCTCAAATTCTTATCTGCTCCAATGTATTTAAGGGACACCACTTACTCCAACCAGTAATAATGACTTGTTACAGTAGGGACTGAAGAGGAAAGTAGATTCTCCACAAATAGAGTTTTGCTATAACCTTATTTCCTGTAAGAATTACTGAGATAGTGCTTCAAGTTTTACCTTTACTTAAGCTACAGTAAATCTTTTACTTGTATTCAATCACATTTAATCATAAATAACCATCTCTGATCAGTTATCCTGTCGTAAAGAAATGAGGAGTCAATTCAAACCTTAAAGAATTTTCCCAAAGCCAAATAATCCAACCCATCAGAGCAGTTGAAAACAACACATTGCTTGGCTACAGCTTTTGCTAAATCTTTGGTAGTTTCAGTCTTGCCAGTGCCAGCTGGACCCTCAGGTGCTCCTCCAAGGTGCAAATGAAGGGCTCCAAATAAGGTTCTGAAACATATAAAACAGACGTTCTTGGTAAAATAATGTGATTTATTTTCCATGCATATGCCAAGAAGAAAAAAAGGTTAAATTGAGAACGAAACCTCCCACTTCCCTTTGATAATTTCTTCCTTCCCAGTAACCTCTGAAAATCTCTGATAGTTCATTACTTTATCTCTTGTTATCTTTTACTTCTGAATAGCTGTATATATGCCATATTGAGAACAAATTCACTTTTGAAATCTAATGTTTATTTCTGGCCAAGAAGAATTCAGCTAACTTTGAATACCCCAATTTCCCAACTATAAGCATATGGAAATGTTACAGAAAAGAAAACAAATAATAATTTAAAATACATGGCCAGCTTTGAAAGAATGAAAGGAAAATTACCAATGAAGAGGGAATGCAAAGCTGGAGAAGTAGTTAGACACTAAAAGATTGTTTCAGGATTGGTATATAAATAAATGAGTGTATTTATGCTCAGATAGAAACAGAACCTCAACCCTCATAAGTGAGCAATGTGGGGAGCTGGAATGGATCCACCTATACAAATCTAAAAGTCTTGAAAGGCTGCCTTGTCTTTAAATGGAAACTAAAATCACTCCAGCAACCTACTGGAGAAAGACAAAGAAGGGTCAATTATGGAAGAGACAAAGAAGCCTAACCTTCATGCAGGGCCTGATGAAAAGCTGGTATCATTCATGCAGGGAAAAAGAGGCCCAAATTTCTACTAGTCATGGGCACATTAATCCAAACTGATAAATTAACATTTTATTCTGAACCAGAGAAAACTCTAGGGTCCTCCTCAGAGATAATGTGAAACTGCTCCTTATGGACACCTCCACAGGTGACAACATGCAAGATTGCATGGGGAAACAACCACTACTGAAATGAGTTCACGGTTCAAACAGGAGAGACCAGTTAGGAGTCAGACTTGCTGCGTGGCAAATGCAAATGGACAAAGGCTGGGAGTGTTATTATATAAATGGTGTCCTACCCTCTATGGTATCCTGGTGGTCTTTTAAACGAGACTTTAAATATAAACCAATAGACACCAGAAAATTGTGAGAGAGAAAAAGAGAAGCCAATTTTATAAATGAGACAATTTGAAACTCTAGCCATAAAAAACATAATGTAAAAACTCAGTGAACAAGTTAAATAGCAGAATAAACATGAGGAACAGAAAATTATGTATGAAAAATTACTCAGACACAGAGATTGAATGTAAGAAAAGTTAGGAGACATAGAAGGAAGAAAATGGGAAAGAAGCAAAATTTAAACAGCAAAGGCTGATAATTTTTCAGAATCGAAGAAAAACATGAATGGAAAAAGGCCCAAACAGGATAAATAAAAATTAATCTACATCTACAGTGAGCATCAAAAATAAAGAGAAATCTTAAAAACTAAAATAAAGAAAACTACCTACAAAAGAAGAAGAATGGGGACTTATCAGCAGAAACAATGGATGCCAGGAGACTAATGAATTTTAAGGGCTGAGGGAAAATTACTATACATCTACATTTCTATACCCAGCTAATCTGTCATTTCACAATTGAGCAAAGACACATAAGGAAGCATTTTTAGACAAAGACTGACAGAGCTCACTACTTGCAGAGCCTCCCTGGAAAAATAACTAAAAGACATTGCCTACTAAGGGGAAGAAAATTAAACCAAAAGTAAGGCAAAGCATGAAGCACTGGTAAGTAAAGAAAATGATAAAATTTTTGCTAAACCTGTATATTAATAGTAAACAATATGTAAATAGGGTTCTTTCTTAAAATTTTGACTAAAGCCCCTGAGAACAAAAAATACCAGCTCATCTTATCTTATAGATGGTGAAGTTGGTTTGGAACATTAGCTATCATCAGGGTGTATAAAAATTAGATAAGAAGACTGTAAGTGAGTAATCAGGAGTGAGGATTTCTCTGGAAATAATCATTGTTGTGTTGTGTTTTTCACCTTTCTCTTTATGGTGGAAGAAAGATCAGCACTTTTCCTTCTCCCAAGCTAACTAAGGGGCCTTTAGGACTACTCAGAAAGCTTGACATACCATCTGCCCCTTGGATTTTCTAGAGCACTGAAACTGAGTTCTGACTCACAACCTTAAACATTTCAAGCTGGAGCTTCTCCTGTTGGCAGAAAAAGAGAGGTATGTTCTCACTGCTGGAAAAGCCAATGTGTGCCTATCATCTGGCCAGGTCCAGATCCAGAGAACCAGTTTTGAGTCACACTGAATGGAACCCTAGGAGGAGGCCCAGCTGCAACAGGAGGAAACTCCAAAAAGAGACTCTGTGTGTGGTAAGCCTCAGAGGCTGAAGCAAAAGCCAGCTGCAGCCAGCCTGATAAGGCATTTTCCACAGGTAGGAATCCAGTCACTGGAGGGGCTTTAAGGAGCCCACATAAACATCCCTTGGAAGATCTGCACATTTGGGCTTCTGCCATCATTAAACAGCCAAGAGATAGTCATCACACAAGACACTTGTCACATATAAACCTACTTCTCTCTTTCTGTTTTCTCTCCTTCAACCTCCACTACTGGGGGAAGCAAAAGATAAGCTACTGAGGGATGAAAGCAAGGATAGGGATAAAAATGGCTAAAAACGGACCACAACCATTTTCCAAATTCAGGCTCTCAGCCTGAGTCAGGCTTGAGCTGAGGGAGAAGGAAGTTTTAAATTGGATGAGAGCTACTAGTATTGATATTAGACATAGGTGGACTTTTGTTATTTTTATAAATGACGCTTATAATTAATATGTTAGAGTGACTAGAAAAGCTAGGGAATCTATCCTACATTTCATTCAGGAATGAGAACTATTTATTTTTAGAGCAACTTTAAAAAAAACAGTAATAAGAAAGAATAAAATTGTTCTCTGCTTGCATCCTAAAACTAGTTTATTCAATAAACTACTTAAAATGACTAATTTTCTGAAAAGAAATTTTAAAACAGTTCAATTTAATATTTGATAATAATCTGGAATATGAGATAGGAACCTGGATTAAAGTAGTTAAAGCCTTTTTATTATTCAGAAACAGAATAGAGGTATTAACTTTAGGCTTTATTAAGTCAAATGGGCATTGCTTAAATGTAAGATAACCTTTAAAAGAATAGAAACAGCATCCTATATCATAGCCCATATCATATCCCATGTTATATATATATATCAAATGAGGTAAATGAATAAAGAAAACTCAATCACTTAATACAAGATAGGACCAGAGAAAAAGCAAAACAAACTAAAATGTTAAACTTGGAGAATATAAAGCACAAAATAAGATGATTTAAATAAGTCTAAATAGTTTATGAATCATATTAAATGCAAATGTGTTAAACTCACTAGTCAAAGAATACAGAGCCCCTCTTCATTTTCATTTGGCTAAATCTCCTTATTCTTCAATAATAGGTCTCCTAATATAAGATCTCTATCCAGATTTTTTTTTTTCTTGAGATGGAGTCTCACTCTGTCACCCAGGCTGGAGTGTGGTGGTACGATCTCGGCTCACTGCAACTTCCACATCCCAGGTTCAAGTGATTCTCCTGCCTCAGACTCCCAAGTAGCTGGGATTACAGGTACCCACCACCATGCCCAGCTAATTTTTGTATTTTTAGTAGAGATGGGGTTTAACCATGTTGGCCAAGCTGGTCTCCATCTCCTGACCTTGTGATCCACCCACCTTAGACTCCCAAAGTGCTGAAATTACAGGCGTGAGCCACTGCACCTGGCCCCAGATCTTTTATTAACAATTTACTTTTCAGAGCATTCCCCCACAAACTTCCATGCCCCTCTGGATTACATATATCTGTAGCACCTAATGTCTACCTCTAATATTTCACTCATTACACTGTATTATAACTGTTTTTTAAACTGCCTTTCCCATCTGATTGAAAAATATTTAAATACAGAATCTTTATATCTTTTCTCTATCAAGAGCACTACTAGAGTATGTGGTATATACTAGCTAATCAATAAAGCTTCTTGGATTGACAAATGAAATTTAAAAATTATTTTTCTCTGAAAGTTACATGGCAGATATTCACATGTAATGTTGACTGTAAAGGGATTCCTATATTGTAAATCCATAAAGACTTCAACTGGGTACAGGGTACAGCTGTAAGCAATTGCACCAGTGTTAAATCCTGTATAGGTTCTTCAAGTGATAGGGCCTGCCCCTACGCCATACAATTGGCATGATATCAAAGAAGATTCCAGTAAAACTGCATTGTTCTCGGCCTTAATTCTGAACCACTGGCCCTGATTCATTTGCTACTCTATAAATAGTCCTACCAGGCCAATGAGGAAGACCCAGACATTCAGCACTATCCTCTCTCTGAAAAACATCATTTAAAATAAAACATGTGAACAGGCTTACTGTTTACAAAAAAAAATTTACAATTATTTTTTTGTTTTGTTTTGATGGAGTCTTGCTCTGTCACCCAGGCTGGAGTTCAGTAGCACAATCTTGGCTCACTGCAACCTCTACCCCCTGGGTTCAAGTGATTCTCCTGCCTCAGTGTCTGGAGTAGCTGAGATTACAGGTACATAGCACCACACCCCACTCATTTTTGTGTTTTCAGTAGAGACAAGGTTTCACTGTGTTGGTCAGGCTGCTCTCAAACTCCTAACCTCAGGTGATCTGCTTGCCTTGGTCTCCCAAAGTGCTAGGATTACAGGCTTAAGCCACTGCGCTCAGCCAAAATATTTACAATTCTAATCATTCTCTAGGAAACAATATAATTTAAAACTGCATTTCAGTTTATGGATATTCAATACATTTTATTAAATGCCTGCTATACACCAGGAAATGAGTTGGTGCTGGGGGAGAGGGAAAAATAGGGCATAATCTTTGCCCAAGAAAATACTACGATAAAGAATATCAGATATATCAAATATACTTTCAATCCTTCATGAGTGTTATGATAAAAGAAGATACATGGTGTGGTGAGAATCACTGAGGAGAGATTATTAATGTAGAGAATGTCAGAGAAAGGCTACCTGTAAAAGTTGATGTT